GAAGTGTAAGGTACATGCTCAACAAATAGCTTAGATGGGTTTTATTTCATCTGCAGATCAAATATGCTGTTACAGAATATAGTAAAAATAGTCAATGAAGACAGCAATCTGGGCAGTGCTAAGGCCTGTTCCACTCTCAGGCACACCAGAACTATTAAAGCAGTTCTTCAGAACCGACCTTCCAGGTAATGTGGGTAACAACATAGCCTGGTGGAGCTGCTGCAGTGCCCTTTGTGTGCCACTGTTGTTTCCACTGGAAAAATCTTTACAAATCTGAGCCTGCAAACTGAGCCAGCAACAGCTCAGAACAGATAACTGAGCCAAGCGTCCCATGGATTCTCTTGTAACGAAGGAATTTACTCCGTGGCATACATTAGATGCAGAAAGGGCTTCAGTGTCAGTGACACTATTGGCAGCTGTGTTAACAGTTGAGGAGCTGGCTTTGTACGGCAGTACAGTTATTAAATTTCTCCAGAGACCATGACTCATTAATCAAATATTCATACATCTCTGTAAATACACTCTGAACAGAGAATACCCTCAGAGCTGAGCATCCCAGCACAAGTGCTCTTTCATGTAGCGCTGACAAAATCCTGAGAACATGCGGTCATGTTTTGCATTTCTAATGCTGTATGTACTCCTTAGTGCCCCGATTCCTAAAAACAGAACACAAATGATCTTACTGATTGCAAGTGTTACACAGTCACAATTAAAATTGCTTCACTATTGCTTCATACCATCTTTTTTAAAGTGAAGACAGTGGATCAATTCTTCTATTCTTTGTTTACCATCAGACAAGCAACTTTTTCCCATACGGATGGAGAAACCCGAGGCCATGCTCCTATTAATACAAGAATTTGTATTAGCATGAAAACAACAAACCACTGCTTGATCTGGGAAGGCCAAAGCACTTGATATATTTGCAAAGACATGAGCTTGTTGTATTTAATGAGTGCTGTACTCAGTGTTTCCTCCTGCCGCAGAACAGCACATCTTCTCACCTGCACTGGGGAGACCCAATACAGCCAAGGGTTTGGCCTCAGACAGGCTGGGATTGTGGTTCGTAGAATCTCTGTGATCCGCTGAGTCTCTTTTCTGTGAACCTCTAAAAAAATTCAGTTTTCTCTTTGAACTCCCCATCCTAATGCCTTTGTACCAAGGCTTTTAGTTTTGGTTACTGCATCTGCATTTTCCCACCAATAGCATGAAGAGTTTCACTAAATTTAGGCTTGTTTGTAGAGGAACATTAATTCAGAAGACACAACAGTTCCTTTTCTACTTCCTCTTCCCATAAATAAATACTTCCATAGCTCCTGCCACATCAAGTTCAGTGCATTCTAATTCTCTTTAATAGGAATTGACACTTAGGCTTTAGAAAAACAATTCTCTTATGCTTAATTAGGGCACTGACTAAGATGGGGTAGCAATAGCCTGTCCCACCTCTCCCATATAGGCCTAAATCTGAGCCCCTTGCTCCATAATAAAGCTCTGGGTATCTGCTATCACTGAGGACAGCACAGGGCTGCAGTTACCATCCCTGCTGCCTCTTCTCCACCTGAGCCCAGCGTCCCCATCCCGGGCGTCACACACGTGCTCCCACTGCCCTGGGTGACCTCATCCTCTGACCCGCAAACCGCTGAGTGAGGATAAATACCCAAAACGTTGACTTTCAATAATGTTCCCTTGGGACACGGGGATTCACTGGCAGGATCAGAGTGTAAGGAAGGAGTAGATGGGAAATAATTATGTGTAAGCGCTGAGGGGAGAGTGCTCAAAGCCTTGGCTTTGAAACGTGCCTGCACACCCAGGCAGCTAGGCAAAAATGGCTAACGTTTATTTGTGCATCTTCTTGCATAAATAAAGCCCTGCTGACTTGCTTTGATGGCATTTACGACCACATTTATTCATAAACATTAGAGTGAGCAAGTTTTTATTTGCAGGAGCATTCATAGAAAACAGAAGCGTTGTGAATTCTGGTGTGAATAAACACCAGAGAGCTCTCACATGAGAAGGGCTTCTGCAGTCATTAAGTAAAGCTCCTTTTACTATGCGCACCGTGGAATCAAACAATTACAGCTGCCCGTGAACTGCTTACAAACAGGGAAGGGAACTGTTTAGAAAGCTCAGTTAGCCTCAATTAGGCAGCAGAAATCGTCTCCTGAAGATAAGCAGTCATGTGGTCGAGTGATGATTGCTCAGGGCTCCATCCCACCTCACTCCAACGTCTCTTTACATCTTTTTGGCAGCGGATGAAAATGTTTCACGAGCAGAAAGCAGGGTGGGCTGTTCGTATTCATTTGTGGGATTATTGACCTTTCATAACTCACGGTTGCCTTTCGTGCCATCATTTGGTTTAAGAGATTGTCAATATCTCTGGGAATAAATCAGCTCTCCAGAGTGAGTCCGTTTTCTTACTGTAATTAATGGCAAATAGGAGATCCATCTCTGCATCCTCAAACACGTGGCACTGTCACTGACTGACTCACCTGCCTTCCACTGCCAGCATTTCGTGGCTGGGATGTTCGAATAAAACAAACAAATGGGGAAAAAAACCAACCCACTGAAGGGAAGAAGTTTGTAAGCCAAAGGCACCATCTAAGTGATGGTCCTGAGTGGCTTTTGAGATATTCTGGAAGGTGGTCTGCAATCCTCCAGGCTGTTTTTTGTAGAGATCAGTTGTCACTAGCTAGAGGTCTGTGCAGTCTGGTGCCACCAAGCAGGGGTTCGTGGAGTCCTCTAAGGAAAAAGGCCACTGCTGGGTGTGGGTAACTAATGCTCCTTTGGTTTGTGTTTGAAGGCAGCAGCAGCAACAGTGATGACACAAATTAATTGCACGGTTTTCAGGAGGTAATGCAGACGAGGTAAAGAGAATTACTATGCAATTAACATAGTTTCCAATTAAAGTCCCCTGTAGTTACTGAAAAACATTAATTTCTAGTAACTTGGTAATTTAACTTGTGTCACCACTGTACATGGATCTCCAGCAGCAGGGCAACAAGTGGGCTTCTCAGTGCTGGAGCCTTGCATGAGAAACAGGAAAAACAATCTGAAAATAGCTGTCAGTTTTTAATAGCTGCTTGTGGTGAGCTTCTCACAAAACGCCATTGTGGTGAGGAGAAGGGCTGGGTAAGAGATTGAAGAACCACAGTAACAATGGCAGCCCTTAGTCTGAAAGGACTATTTGAATAAACTCTGCGTGTTTCAAACACTACGTTTCTTTATGAACACGTTGCAAGAAGGCTGAGACAAATGGAACTATTTCTCCTCTTTAAGTTTGCTGTCGGGATGGTAGACTGACATTTTTCCTTCTAACAAGTGTACTGTAGCTCTTATTTCCGTGTGACCGTTCCCATTACAAAACCTCCAACCCCAAAGGCCTGGAGCAGCCGCTCCTTTCTGCTTGGTGCGAGGTCAGTGGGCAGCTGCACGCAGCCAGGGCAGCTCGGGAGGGCAGATTTGTCCCTTAGCTCCCAGCTGGCTCCTGGTGTAGGCCTGCAGGAACTTGAGACAGAATCACAGAATCACAGAATCGCCAGGGTTGGAAGGGACCTCAAGGATCATGAATCTCCAACCCCTCTGCCACACGTAGGGCCACCAACCATTCCACCTAATGCTAGACCAGACTGCCCAGGGCCCCATCCAATCTGGCCTTGAACACCTCCAGGGATGGGGCATCCACAGCCTCTCTGGGCAGCTGTTCCAGTACCTCACCACTCTCTCCGTAAAGAATTTCCCCCTGACGTCCAACCTAAATCTCCCTTCCCTCAGCTTAAAACCATTTCCCCTTGTCCTGCTGTCACCCTTTCAAAGAGTTGATTCCCCTCCTGCTTGTAGGCTCCCTTTAGGTACTGAAAGGCTGCAGTGAGGTCACCCTGCAGCCTTCTTTTCTCCAGGCTGAACAAGCCCAGCTCTTTCAGCCTGTCCTCATAGGGGACGTGTCGTGCTCTGCACATACCTGCGTTTTAGAAACCAGCAATGCCACAGTCAGGAGCAAGTCCACTGCACAGCTCTGCGTTGTCTTAGTTTCATGCAGCTGAGTACCACCCCAACTTCATTACTATTGCAGGCTCCTGATCATTAAAGTCTCTAAAGCTTATTCCATTTTATTATTATGACTACAACAACAGAAGTTGTAAATGGAAAAGACATTATTGATTCAACTAATCCGCTGCGTGCAGGATTGCTCTTTGCTGCGTGTGTCGGCCTTTGGGCCAGCTCGGTTGGCAGCAGCCCAACATCGGCCCTCCAACACTTCTTAAACACTGAAAGCACAATGCAGCTGCATGCCTAATTCCTGTCTGCTGTCACCCAAAGGATCCAGGGGACAGTTGTGCATTCTTTGCTGAAGCTCCACGAATCTGAGCCTCACTAATCAGGAGTCTCCTATATTCCTGTTCCCAGTGACATACCCAATTCTGCTCATTTTGACATCTAAATTCCATAAATACGTTGTTTACTCCCTCTTCTGGGCTATTAATGAAAAATATTAAGTAAGATCCAAGCCAAACATCCTCACATATATGCAGCATGTAAAAATATTATGCCAATTATTGGTGTGATTTAACCGTGCAGAGGTTACTAATTTAGACAAACGATGTGTGCCTTTGTTCTCTGTTTCTGGAAACGATGAATCCACAAATAATCTCATTTTGGCTTCTTGGAATATTAACTCAATTAGCACCTGAGAATGCACGCTCCAGCCCCGACACGTGCACACACCCGAGCTGGCTCTGCCTGAAGCCCAACTATTCGTCATTTCTTTCTCATAAAAGGGAAAAAGGTACTTTAATGAATACATGTGCTGCTTATTTGGAGAGACAACATTTGTGCCTTCTGTGCCTGAATGGCACTTAGCATGGGTTAACATTTGGTTTACAACGCAACAATAAAATTTGTCTTTATTGCAAATAAACACAGTATTCACACCTTACAGTATTTTTTTAGATGCAGGATTATATTCACTCTTAGAGGCTCTAGTATAAATAAGGAAGGCACACACATTTCATGTCTCACACCTTTTTTATTTTCTAAGCAGCGTTAATACATATTTTAAATATTGCATTTACTTTGTTAAAACATGAACCTGTTTATGTACATTTGTTTGCAGTTTGAGAACACACACTATCAAGTCATCATTTGTACAGTAATAACATATAAAAAAATAATCACACCCTGGAATTTTAAACACCCACTGCCCTGTTTGCTTTGATCTAGAAGCTGCACTAGTAGGAAAGGAGCCTCAGCACTGCAATCGTTGGATCAGGAAACAAACACCACTCTTCTAGTAATTGTCCTCAGCTGCTTTGATTGGTTGCAGTTAATTTAATAGTATAACCTTTAAAAATTGTGGGGCAAGGTAATACTTTATCTTCACTCCTCATATTAAGGTTCCAAAGCAAGCTTAATGAGAAACCATTATAAAATCATACTGCTAAATAGTATCTTAACTCACAATTGAGCCTATATAATTATATCAGTATTGCAACTGACAATTACTACTGCTGTATCAAACTCACATCTGAGCAGCGCGGTGTAAGAAAGGTAACTCACAATTACTGCATTAACTATTATTTGGGCTTACCGGTGAACCAGGTCAGAGCTCTGCCCTCACCACATGTAATAACACGGTCCCCAAACCCATGGCTGCGTGCCTGTGATGGAAAACCAAAGCACTGAGCTCTGCTCAGGAGCTGTCCCACACTGAAGAACCTGAGGGCTGCAGGTCAGGGTTGGGAGCAGCTTTTTAGGAGGTGACACCAGGACCCAGGCAGAGCCAGCAGAGCTGGCTCTAAGCACTGCCACCCCTCTGCACCAGCACAAGGCAACCTGAACATCATCCAGCTAGTGGTGAACCACAATAATTAGTACATACATTTAGAAATGACATTTTGAAGACTATTAACATATAAAACATTATCATCTTTATGAAAATAGACCAATTTCAGCACGGCTTGCCTTTTCGGAGGAGGAGGACACATTTTATTTTATTTTTTTTTAAAGGCAAGTGTTCTCCTGGACAGCTGCCAATAACCTGGTGGGAAATGTCCTTACAGCAAGACAAACTCCTCAGTACTAAATCTCTTTAATCTTTTCTTTTCATCCTCAGAGAAAAGGTCATTTTCTTCATGGAGTGGACTGGAAGCAAAGTCATAGTCTCTGGAATGACCCTTCACAAAAGTAAACAAGGGGTATTTTTCCTTGGATGAGGATTTCAGCATCTGCAATGCAAAACACACACCAGATAAGATGTTACACCGGAAATGAAGAAATATGGTAAGTAGTTGTATTAATCTAATAAGGCTGTGAAATGGAAAATGTTTCCTTTACTATTTTAATTATCATATTAGAACAAAGCATTGCACATGCTAAACATCCCCTGCTCTTTTTAAACAAACATTTCCTTCTATTTCTTCTCCTTGTGATAGTGAAAAAGCCACTCTGATTCCTTCATCTTTACTGTCATTCAAAACTTTCCACTTAATTCAGGTTTATTATAATGGCCATTGGCTGTTCTAAGGTGAAAGCTGGAGAAAGGGCAAAGAAGTACAGCAAAGGCATACGCTGAGTAACAAGCAAAAGCAAAGGAAGAGTAACAGATGAGTATTTGCAGAAGAAAGGAAAAAAGTTGGTCAGGAAACAAAGCATTGGTAAGTCTTATGAGACCAGACAGCCAGATACGACCCCTGCCATCTCTAGGCACTGAGTGCCAGCCGGGGCAGTGGGCAGGAATTCTGAGCCCTGGGAAGGCTGTGTGCAGGCCTGTGAAGTAGTGGGGTGGGCTTAAGCCAGCTCCCAACTGCACTTCTGCAACAGAACACAAAGCCAAGTACTGTGGATGTCTCGGGGAAACGCAGACTCACAGCTACTGGTGGTCCCTGCAGACCAGGGCAGAAATACACCTGCACTTACACTGCACTGTCTGTGCTGAACGGCCCTCAAACTTCCTGCTCTACAGCTACCAGAGACACTGCTGGCCATTTACCATGTGAGGTGGGGAACTATTACACAGAGCACGGGCTGGACAGACAAGAAAACGCCTCGGTTGCTACAATTAATATCAAGCTCCACCTCATTCAATGATCACCAATAATAATAATAAAAACACAGGTGAAGTCAGATATTCAGGCTTTATTTATTTTATAAAAGAAAACTGTGCAAAAGTATGTATTTTGTGACTTTGAAAAGGCACCAAAGAGTACATTTTGCAAAGTTCAAATGTGAACTTCACACCAGCCGTTCTGGAAATCTGTAGCTGGGGTTGGTTTATAATACGGAAAAACAAGGAATCCAGCTCTAGGACATTCTTATTACAGCTGAATCTGCCTTTGGCAAAGACCGTGGCCAAACTCAAGAAAAATGCCTCCTGCTCTGTTTTGCAGGGATGCCTTATGTGGTACAAAGTAAGCACGTATGGGACCCAGGGCTCTAATTGCTGCAGTAATTCTCTAACAGGTGAATGGCAGTGGATAGGTCTATTTTACTTGCAAGTTCTTCAAATGCCACTGTGATGGGATTTCTACAGTGTTTTGATAACCATCAATATTTTTACTATTTCAGTGTTCAAGTCTGGGTGCATTTTCTTGTCCCTAAATCTACCAGCTATTTAATTCCACACTTAACTATAGCAGCTAAGTAACTGGCAAGTACAAAAACAAAGGGCAACCTGAGTGGATTCTCACCACTTCCTCAATTTGAGCACCTGATTTCAGTGCCTTTATTTCTCTGTCCCCGAGTGCATGGCTCATAAGGTTTATCCTCAAGCAATATAAGCAAAACCTTTTCTCCCATCTCTTATTAGCCACAAAAGCAGCAAGAATGGGAGTTTGTTAACCTAGGCTGCACACAGCAAACTGAGTGCATTGTGCCAATAGTTCGGGAGTTACAGTGCTCAAATTGCAGAGAGGAAATACAGAAGAGCAGGAAAAAACAAAGCATGTGAAGGACTGAAAGACCACAGAATGTTTTTCACATGGCATTTGTATCTAAACTTTCCTCTATTATCAAAGTGCTGTGTCTGAAATACACTGATATAAAATAATGTCATTAACATCAGAGAGATACCTAAAGTACGAGGAAAACAGCTTACATAGACTTAAGTGAGCTGTGACTGTTTTCACAGCAAATGTGCAGGGAAACAAAAGTACTTCATCCCGAACTCAAAAGAAAAGAGGAGAAAGAAAAGGAGAACTTCCAATGCATGTGATTTTGTAATGAAATTTTTTACCTCTCTGTATAAGAATCAAAAGAAACAACTTCAACATCAATCAAAATCTACCGAATATTAAGTTTAAAATGCTGTTTTAACTATAATGCTAATGTCACCTAACAAGGCAATCAGAATGCTGCACGAACATTCATTCTTTGTGTGGATGTGGTAACTGCTATGGTTAGAATATTAATATCATGAACATTTTTGCTGCTCTGGAATCCTTTTTTAAATCACAAAACACTGTTATTTGCTACCGCCGTTAATACAACAGATTAGTCAAGCATTCATATGCTGGAATAATCAAGAAAAAAAAAGGTTAATTACCTTTGGACCTAAGTAAACCTCCACCTGTGCTGTCCAAGTGGAAGGACGTGATCAGACAGATTTACTGGGTGATACCTGACTTCAAAACATCGTCACCGAATTACAAACGCGCCACTTTACATTTCAATGCAATCAGAAACAGCACTTAGGCTAACAAGAAATAATACACAATTTTGACTCGATCAAACACTTCCATTTAAAAAAAATTCCTCCCGAGGGATTTCTGTGCCTTTTAGAAGGCGCTGCGGGGCGCGGGGCAGCTCAGCAATATTCTCACTTCAATAGTGCCACCTCGCGGAGCCGCCCGGCCGCACCGATGCCCATCACCCCCAGCTTCCATCGTGAAAACAGATGGAATGAAAAACAATCCAGATCTCTCCTGATTGTGAAAGCAGCAGTAAATACCAAGAAAAGAATGATTCCTGCTTAGTACAGCCGAGCTGGTTCTCTGCCTTACCCGCACACAGCACACGCGCAGTTGGGCTGAGGGCTGGGCTGCAGCTCGGACACCCACCTTTGTTATTTCCTCAGAAGCCTTCTCAAAGTCCTGCACAGTTCTACAGTAAAATCCTATCGTACAGCTCGGATCCATTTTTTTGAATGACATCTTTTTGGGAGAAGGACAGTGGAATGACTGCAATGTGCAAGGTTAAAAACCGTCAGATAGTTAAGGTTCAGGATAGCACAGAACTAAACATTCACTTTTTCTTCCTTAATGAACAGCCTTAACATACAATCTGCTGTATCACGTGTGTTAAAACCCAGCACATCCTTAAAGTTATTTCTTCCCCCCAGCATGCCAGTAATTCTGCCCCTCTCCACACGCTTTACGTGTGCAAAGCCCCTTGCAGTGATGCTGCATTCGCCAAAGTTGCTGGTGGCACCGTGGTAGTTTGACATCTATCGCAGCTCCAAGCAGTGCTTTATGAACATTCCCAAGGCAGAGGAGGTGAATGTTTTTCTGCAAATTGAATCAGTAACAGCTTGTGCACTATCTCACAATTACTGCTTTACTACCACCGCCCATTGCCCCTTCCCTCCCCCAGCCTCTATAAAAGCGACATAATGGCATAATCCAACCTCTTCTATTTTCCTTTGGTAAATGAAATGGGTTAAGAAAAACCCAAACCACACACACACAAAAAAAACCTGTATTACAATAATCCACAAGTAGGAAAAAAAAACCAACAACCAAACAAAAGCATGCTCTGCTTTATAAATACATATTTTTTCTTAATGCAAAATCTCTTTCCATGACAGATGATGATGTGACAGCCCTGGGAGCTGATACTATCAGCAGCCGTGGAGGAGAAGATAAAACAAACAAGCCCAAAGCACCCTCGCCACTCTTCTTTTTTTCGCAGCATCTAAGAGAACAGACACACGTCTGCCATTTACCCTGACGGTGCTGCGTGCTCACCGATCACAGAGCTGTGGTTTTGGTGAAGCTGAACTTAGGGTGTGGATTCACACCGGCAGTGGAGCAGCAGCCCCGGCTCCCCTGCCGACACGGCGGGCACAGCCGCAGCACTGCTCAGCATTGCAGCCAACAGCACCGCGTCCGCACGGCGCTGCAACGCGGCGGCCGCCCGACCTAAATGCAGATTTGGTCACCAACTTCTCACAGGGATCAGCATCCCCCAGTGAATATTCTGCGCTGTGTCCTTTCGCCTTTCAATACGAGCTGCTGTGGCACGGCACTGGGCAGCGCAGGGCTGACACTGCAACGCCGGGGCTCTGTTAGCAGCACCAGCACGGCTCCTCCGCACAGAATCACAACAGCCACAGTGCAATTCGACTGCAGCAACAGCAAGCCCTGACAGTCAAGCAGTCTGTAGACTAGAAACCTATTTCATAGTCTTAATATATATATATTTTTTGCTAGGCAAAGTCAATCTGTGGAAGACAGCAGCACCGGTTACCTGGTGTGAGAGCATCTGACAGTGTCAGTGTTACACAGGGATGGGTGTTGCTGTTTAGTTGTTATTATAAACCTGAGAGCTGTTTCTATTCAACCTCTGCTAAAAAAAAAAAAAAAAAATCTAAGCAAAGACTAGAATTAATATTTACCCAGGACTCATTTTTTTCCCCCTAATTCGGGTTTTAAAAGCAGAAATTGAAAGCTGAATCTTCCTTTCTGAGTCACCACATCCATAAATGCTTTACGTATTTATTCTGCCTTACATCTCACATTTCACCACCAACACTCTGACTGCAGTTGTGCTGCACTGTTCAGGGCAGTATTCTTAATGCTACACAAATCACCACACAACAAAGAGAAGTGGGTAGGCATTTTTTTTCCACTCCTCCAAACAAATGGATTCTGGAAGCCAATACAGAGTGGATTGATTTCCAACTTATTCTGGACAATTTGTCAATTTTGAAAATACTCCCTACAGATAAATCTAACAAGCAACTATCCACACTAAGAAAGCAATTTCTGTTTACTTTTGACATTTCTGGACAAAGATATAATACTATTAAATGCACTAAGCATTAAATTGCAATATATTTTCCGTCTGCAGAAAAGCATTACAGCGCGATCAAGCCAAGCTGGCAGCCTGCGTGCCTTCAAAATACATTTTAAACCCTTCTTATTATTTGGAAATTCATATTAATGCCAGCCTGCAGCATAATGTGCAGAATTAGTCACGGGAACAGAAGACAAAAAGATTTGTATTTTTTGTAGCTTGGCTGCGGAGCTGCGGTGCGACCTTAAGGAAGTCACTTCAGCTCCACATTCCTGTGCTCTCCCCACCTTTTGTCTGCCTTACCCAATTAAACTGTAAAATCTTCAGAGAAGGCGCTGTATTTTACAGCACCTATTAGCATTAAGAGGCAAAGATCTTGGTTATAATCACTGGCTGCTGCCACAAAGCAGCAGCAAAATAGGTGGAGAGCCAGGACTCAGCAACTCTCCTTTCAAATTTCTCAACAGGGAAAATCCAAAGATATCCCAGAAACTTACATTATTCTTAGAGATATTTTTCTGATACATTTGGCTGAAACTAAAATAGCAGCCATGTTCCCTTCCTGAATTCAGAACCCTCTAATCTTCTAGAGGACCTTAGAATTCCACATGGTAAGTCATGCCAGTTACAGCATCTTGCTAAGCACTGATACTGAAAAATGTTTGCTTTAAGTCAGCCCTAGGATTTAACATTAGCCCTGTGTAAGCCCTTTGATACATGTAATCTCTTTCCCAAAATACTTTTTAATGGTGTTTTGATTAAGGTATTGTGATCAACTTCTGAATATTGCCTCCTTGGAACTGGTATGTGAACAGGTATTTCTTTTCATGATAGTAATTAGAACACTGACACTCATTTAATCGTTCTCTCTCAGTTGAAGTTAACTCCTAGCTGCTATATAAACCAGAAGCCATATAACTCCATTATACACCATCTGACTTGTATTCTCAGTGTAACAAGCCAATTTAAAAACACCTATTCTGTTTTTGAGTTGAGTTCAAGAGCTACTTAAGACAACCTTCCACTTCTTACAGGACTTTACTGCAAACCTTCAAGAATCCACTGTGAAGTGACAGTATTTCAGGGGGTGACAGGCATATGTATGCACCCTTTTTCCTTATTTAAACGTAGTTTGTTTTTTCTGAAGCTGGATTTCCACTTTAGGAGCACTTCAGTGCAGAACACAGTGGTGTGAGGAATTAGCACTAATAACCAACTCTGTTCCAGAAGCCTGGATGCTGTCCTAAGCAATGCATGCACCCAGCGTGCATTTCCAACTTGATAGGAGCTGCTTTGAGGAGCCTGGGAGTTCATGAGGAAGTTGGACAGACCAAGATCAAGGAGAATTTGTACAGATGGCCCTGACTGCTCTTACTGTGAGTACTGTGGCTATTGAACTTCTGCAGCTGATAATGTTTTCCCATGGTGCTTGTAAATGGAGTCCTTTAATAACCTCCTTGAAGCTCTATCTATTTTCAATGCAAGTTATTTGGAAAGAAGTTAAAGAAAAGGGAAAACAGTACTGTAAAATAAAGAACGTGATTTGTAACACCTAAAAAGGGCTGGGAGGGAAAGAAAGAACCCCAGTACCAACACCTTCAAACAGCTTGATTAAAAATAATTAAACTCATTAAAGAAGAAACTCTGTTTCCAAACTGACTGTAGGCACCCTGCAGCTCGAATTCACAATACAATAAAATTATGAAAACACAACCAAAAATGAATGAACCCAATATATATCCAAGTTAATCGGGTCTGAGATCTCCAAATGCTGTTCCTTTTCTCCGATGGAAAAATATGTAAGTAAAGCAGTCATGTAGTTTTCAGGTTTTCCAATCATTAAAAATAAAAAGATGTAAGTTAATGATGTAAAAATTAAAACCTCATATGGCGTTTTTAACCTCTGGTCATTTCTGTTGATTACAGGCCTATAAAGGAGGGCAGAACTTTGATAAATAACTCGTAACTGTAAAACCATAAAGATGCAGCTAGCTAGAACATCTCTAAATAATTAGTGTTTGATTCATATGGGAAGAAAACAGTGCCAGGTCTATATCCATAGTACCTCAAGAGGGAAATCCTTTATGCTGACATCTACAAAAGATTGGCAGTAATGAGGATCCATGTAAATCAAACTGTCATCTGCAAGGACAAAACAGAAGACAAGTAATTCAAAAAACACCTTATTATTACACTGCTTACAATCCAATTTCTATGCAGAACAGCTGAAAAAAACACCAGCAAGTAACTGCTTGCCAGGCTGATATTCATTGACTGAAGCATAGGTTTTTGCAGGACAGATTAACTTTTGCATAATCAAACATGCTTGTATAAGCAGAATTTTTATAAAGTGATGAGACTGTCATTTAATTTTTGGTGATAAAATTACTTTTACAAACATACAATTATATTCTGGAGTTTGCATATGAAAAATGTATTGTGCTACTTCATCCTGACAGGAAGAATATATTGCTTGTCATCTGAGCATCAACTACCAGCACTTAAACGAGCCAAAAGTAAATACGTAAATAAGAACTGCCAGATAGGAATGGCAAAAGCTCCTGAAGTTTGGTGAAACAGATAAATTATGCCTTGTTTATGCAACAAGGGAAATTAAATGTACATTTTACAGAATCCAATTACTATATGAGGTAAATGACAAATGAATGGGACTTTGGTAGATATGATGAATTAATAAGGTACTCGTTTTGCTATTTTAATCATGCTATTTCCCACTGGCCCTATATTAACTTCCTAACTCTTAAAGAAAAATATTGAAGAGTCACAACATATTAAAATACTAACCTTGAAATCCAGCAAAGTAATACGACTGCTTGGGTTTGCCACCAATAATACCAACACAATACTCAAGGCTTAAAATACCCTACAAGCAGAACATTAAATAATTAGGACAGTGCTAAACAGAAAAAGGATCAAACGGGATCAAAATCTTTTATCTCCCTATACTGTTTTTAGGCAGATCACTTTTTTTCCTCTTCTTTACCCACAAACTTCCCAGGTACTTGCCATTAGGAATTACTTTCCTGGCTATGTCATCCTGCACATCTCCTGAGGCTTCGCAATCCAACCTGGATTATTAAAATAAGTACCTACAATAGAAAATAAGTCGGCCTGGAGGTCCTTTCTGCTTCTCTCCAATAAATTTCCACTTTCCTTGCTTTCACAAGGTTCTGTTTCTCTGTGGGGCTCATTAGGATATTGTGTGCATCCAGTCTTGGCTGAACACAGCTCTCCTTTCGCTCCCCATCAGCTCCAGCAGGAGCTGCATTTTGCCAACACTGCATGCTTTGGAAATAGAGCCCAACTGTTCCAATACAATCGAAGCCCAAGACCATTAAATACTCTGAGAAGTGAGCAGCCTTTAAAAATCAGTAAATCAAGGTGGCTTTTTGGTGGCACTGCACAAACCTTGGGCTCACTGCTTGGAAGCTGACCCGAAGTGGGACAGCAATCCAGAAGAGAATCACCTGAGCTAAAAGGAAATCTCCATTAGCTGGCAATCATGCCCATATCCTCTCCTTTAGGATATCACCCATTAAAATTATAACCATTACATTATCATTGTCCAAGCAGGGAGAATTTCTCTCAACAAAGTGATTGATATTTCCTGCTCTATTAAGGCCAAGGCTTCTTGTTGAGATAAATTTTTTCTTACTCAGACAGTGATAAAGTAATGGAACATGACAAAAATTGTTGTATTCCTAACTTGAGACACTAACAAAGTCAGCTTCAATATAGTTTATCCAGCCTAAGAGAATGCTTATTTAAAATATAAATGAGAAGGCTTTTTGAGAAAATGTTCCCTGATACTTAACGTTACAGTAGGTTTAGGCAGAGAGGCAAAGGCTGCATCAGCTGACAACGACACATCCTCTGCCAGTGAAACAGGAGGAGAGCAAAGCTATTTAGAGTAATGAATAACTGTTTAATCTATGGACATTTTCTTGTGAAACTGAATTATAAAATATTTATCAATTTTCATCCATAAATATAAAATCCTTTGTAAAAATTACCTCTTGTACTACATTCTAAAATCTGCATTTTTAACTTTAATCCAGACCCCAAGAAATTCAGTCACTGTTCAGTGAGCAGTCAAGACAGAGACTGGGGTGACTAATAGACTCAATTGAAAGCCCTCTTATCACAGTCCCCATTATCAGCAACTGTGAAAGGCAGCGCCGCTCCTGGTAAGTCAGCAGCAGACAGAACTCTCCTTGGTAAGGCTGGTGCTGCTAAGCAAACCTAAATGTGCCTGTGCTTGGAAAGTCAGTGCCAAGCAAACATATTTCATTCTGGCAAAAAAGCGCTTTCGACAGCTAAACTGAGAAAGCCTCTGCAGGGCAGGACTGGCGACAGACACCCATCAGTCATAAAAGCCAACATAAAAGAATTGGAGTCACTTTCCTTTAGCTGAGAAAACCTTATGGAAGTTGCAAAAGCAACTGTTTGTTAGCTTACAAAGGAAAGCCCCATGCATTTTCCTGGACATGACTGATCCAAAGGCACTTTTGCAGTTAATGCTGGAAGTAAAGTAAGGTTGTTGTACATCATGTCTACAGCATAACTGCATCAGAATTGAGCACAAATAAACTAAAACTTTTCCCAAACCGCTTGGAAAGAAAAGGAATCAGGAAAGAAAAGCTATTTAGTAGATCATCACTGAAGTGAAAGGCTTCATCTTTTGCCTTTGTGCCACATTTTCCTGAAATGTTGTAGATATGTGAGTCAGAACACATGGATGATGCAGCAGATAAGACCAACTCTCAGATTTTGTAAATAACTCAAGAGTGTGCAACTTAAATTCCTGTTCTAATACTTAGAAGACAGCATTTCCCACTGCATCTTGGAGAAAGATAAAGCAGAAGGGCAAAGAGAAGAATCTCCTCACTAAGATGAGCATTCCTGTGCTCAGTGGGGAATGCCCATTGTATTACCACCCATCTTCAAGTGTTAACACTGTTAGTGGAGCCTCCACTAAAAAAAACAGAGGTTTGCAGAGACTTTCTTCTCCTCTCTGCTTTCTCCTTATGTTTTACTTTTCTTCTAGTTCATTTTAATTTGTGGCAACCAATTGCTACTTCTGCATCACTGTGCTTAGAAGCATTCATCCCACTGGCCAGACAGTGAAGCAGTAGTTGAAGTAATGTCTAAAGTTGTCAAAAAATTCTATCCCCTCTCTCAAGGTGGAGAAAATGAGAAAGGGAAGGACAGGAAACAACCTTAAGGCATTTGGTATTTAAGGAAATAAGAAACAGAATAAGGTATTTGCTATATTTATATTTTAAAATGCTGGCTGACACTCATTATAGCACAACTTTGGCAGCATATGTAACTAAATTATCATTTATAATTTGAGCCACTGTGTTAATGTCTTTTCAGATAGCTGCTTCAGGAGTAGAACAGTTTTCACTGCTTTACCAAGGGACATCATGTGCTCTGCAATTACGTCTCATCTTGTAATAGGGAAATTTAAAATCTGTAAAGTCAAACTTTACAACCTTCAACTGTAAAATCACCACCACACATTTAATAGGTAGAAGATTGCCATCGTGAAGTCTCCTAGTGCTCCGATTTGAAAAATGATTGAACTCTCATTTCATACCTTTACAAACTCTAAGTAGTCCATGTTTGTTCTTTCTCCACCGAGTCTCACTGGAACTAATATAATTACAGCTTTTGTGTCTGTTTCTCCAGAATCCATAAAAGAACACTGTCTGTCAATAACATCTGAGCTGTAGACTGAAAGGAGACATAAAAACATTGGTATGTAAGACACAGCTTTTCAGGCACACCTACAGAATGACATCACTGGATCTGACAAACTGTAACTGCAGTCCTTTGAAAATATCACTGTCCTCCTGAAATATAGCTCCTGAGCAACTCTGATGAAAGACAATGTTTTCCTTCCCTGTTTTCAGCAATATTTTGTAGCAATCAACTGCTGCTGAACTAAGACACCTTGCCAGGAAAATGCAGAAGGATGAGGTTAGGAGAAAGAGTAATTTAAAGGAGAAAGATAATTTAAAACTTGAAACACTACACTAACAGAAACATAAACATGTTGGTAATAATAGTAATCAATAATTGATTTTAATAAATATTTATGTTCACTGCCAGATGTTAATACAAAGCGGTCACTGAAAATGAGAGAAAATACTTCATGTAGTTATTGCTTATTCCCTCCAAATTAAAAGGGACAAGAAGATCATCACAGGGCAAAGAAATGAGAAACAAACAGAAGTTTCCACTGTCATTTTAGGTCAGGTGAGGGCATACGATTAACCAGTTTCTGTTTAAAACTGGTGTGATTGATTTCCCATGGAGGTGGTTGTTCTCCATCTTGCCAACATCAGCCATGACACAGGGAGCATTTCCAGCCGCTAAACACAGCTACTAAAACTTACATTTGAAAGACTGCATTCATTAGTGTAACATTTCACCATGTTTTGGGTTTTTTTGTCATCATTTTCTTCTCCTGACCATCCAGAGCCCTGAGCTGCTCTGCCTGTTGTTGGTGACTCAGAGTGCCGTGCTGCAGCACAAGGAAGGTTACCTGTACTACTGACTGGCTCTCTGTCCTCCTTGCACCTCTGAACTCTAAGCAAAAAGGTCTTCTTCCCATTCTGAGGTACTGAATGGGTTCAGCATTTTTTTTCCCACTAGGAAAATGGCTAAAAAAGAAACCCTTGATGCAAAAGAAAAGAAAATTTAAACAGTACAACTACTCTTAATTGAAATGAAATATTTTTACCTTGCTTGCTTGGTTTAGGAAAGTAGATATGGAAGCTGTTAGTAGCCTACTATTCAAACAACACTGAAGCAGAATACAAAAAGGATTAATAAGAGAAGTGCTCAGGCTCCACAAATACAAAGTTATTGCAGGCAGACAGACTTCCTGGATTTTGAATTTCACTGTCTGAGTAAGAAACCACACAAGCAATGTTTGAGGCTTTCAAGTTGTGATGTCTGAGTCTCAAAAGAACAAACATCTGCCCGTATCAAGAACTCCTTTGTCTACATAATCTCAGTTATATGGCTCCATTGTTGAGTTTTTTTCTTCCTTTAGGGCTTTATTGTTGAGAGCTTATGAAAGGCATAAAGAGCATCTACAATGTTAGCAAGAATCTACAGTCACAGCATTTACCTGTGCAATCCTGAGCAACATAGACTGTTACTCCCTGCAGTTCAGGGTCTCTTGCTTCTTCAACAGCTTTTCTAAGTACAAACACAAAACTATCATCTCAGGTTATAATAAAAATAACATTCAATAAACACATATTGTTTGATTTTTAGAAACACATTGGGGTTTTTAAAAACTGTTTGGTGCTTTTTTATTTCTATTTTTTAATTCAAGTTGCCTTCTATTTCTGGTCAATACAGATGCAGGGAGATTTTTAAAAACAGAAATCAAAAAAGCAAACAAAAATACACAAACAGTACAAGTGCAACCCAGATCTATCATACATGGCAATGCTTCTTCCAAGCAGAGATAGCACTGCCTATCTATTTAGAGGAAAAAATAAAAATCACACACAAACAACCCACAACAAAAACACCCAAACATTACCTTACAGTGAAATTCATATTCAAATAACTAACACCTTTCCATTTAGAACATTTTTCTGTCATGTGTATTGGCATAATAAAGGCTAAATTTGCTGACAAAGAGATTATTTGCAACTTGATAGATCTCCTTAGTTGACCTCAGTTCATATAAGTAGCCACACATCAGCACCCCTTCCCTCCTGAAATAAAAGCCAACTCATAAAAAGCTACAGGGTTTTGCCAAAACTTTCTAAAAGATCATTGCAGCATTAGGCTGCCCTCGGAGGGATAAGGGTAATGCAGCTGAAAACTAAGAAGCAAATATATGTCAGTAGTCTGAAGCATGATTATTATTCAAGGACAACATTTGTAAAGGAATTAAACTCTTCAAAATACAAGATTAGCCTTTGATTTCCAATACATGCTTGCACTAAATGGTCACTGTCCCTTTATTCCACAGTATATTCTGAAGAACTGTTTAATACAGTCATTCTCAAGTGATGGGAGTGCTATACATTCATTGTAAGCACTGCTAGGAGAGCAGTGAGATCTGGGAAAGGAATCCTGGGTGGTGCTTCAGATCACCACTGAGTTTGTTAGATGGATGCTGGAACAGATGTTTTTTCCCCACGTAGTAGGGAAATAGGTTACTGCAATTTAAAGCAAGCAAAAAGAATTCTGACAGTTTCTATTACCAAGAAAAAAATTCAAGAAAACACATAAATAATGCTAACCTGTCACATCACTGTATGTATTTGCATGAATGCACGCACATAACCAGAGCATTTCTGGGTAGGTTTCACCTGAGGTGAGTCTGCTTCTATACTAAATAGCAGAACTGTTCATCGACACATAGAGAAACATACAGACTTTGACTTCTTCTGCTTAAATGACTTATTAATGATTTAGTTTATAGGTGAACTGGTATCTAATAACATAAACATAGATTATAAAAAAAAAAATCTGGAATATTCAAAGAAATGGTATAGAAAGGCACCATAGCATGGAGAAATTTGACTTTCCACTTTTTTTTTAAGCCACACTGAATGTCACAGACCCTTTACTTTTACTGTGATATAATTATAATATTAATAGTCCCATACATTTACAGTTTCACAAGAATTTGATATGTGCAAAGAAATGCTGAAAACATCAATTTTAGCTCTGACATTTCATTACACTATCAGTACATTACAGCCCCCAGGTTACAGTATAAAAAAAAATCTATAATGTTATGCATGTTCCAAGGTTGAAAGAGTGGTTAGTTTTTAGAACATTTCACTCAATGAAGCTCTATTTAAAATGAAGCTCTACTTAAAAGCCCAGGTTTGGAGAGACCTTGGGACTCCTACTGCCCAATGGACAGGAAAACAGGAATGTTGGTTTGTTGTGAATTAAGACCAAACAGCGGTGCTGAGTTTACTTGCTGCACCTGCTGCTATTTCCACTCCTGCCTCTGAAAAAAGCTCTCCAATTGCTGCTAATATGGACATTTTATAAAGCCAATAATGATCAGTGAGATGTTCAATTAAGCTGAAGTAATCTCATGACGCTCGGAAATGCTTCTCCCATAATGTGCACAGCACTGTAACAACAAAGAATAACCATACTTTTACCTTAAAATGTGTGCAACAACTGCAGGCCCATACCAATCTCCAGCAATTTTCCCAGACTTCTTTCCATATTCTATTAGCTGATGTAAGCCAAAAGCTGCCAGCGGAGAGTCGCCAAACCAAGAAATTATTTTTCTGTGATAAATTTCATTTCTCATTTCACCGTCACCACAGTTTCTTCTTATTCTCTCCTGATGGTTTGACAGGATCTTGGGTTCTCTTTCTGCTGTAAGCGATGCTTCCAACGATGCTGTCAGTTTTTTAACTGTGTGGGCTGTCCAGGAGTCAGAATCTGAATTTTCAATGTCCAAGGCATCTGGCCAGACCCAGGCTGCAGGGGGAATTTGAAGATGTTAGGCTTACTGTTAACATCTTGGTATAATCAGCAAAGCACCCTCCTTTCTCCCCACAGGTTCTCCAGGCCAACAATGTGTACTTCATACAACATGATACAAACAGTGCTAAAATGTAAACAGAGAACTGAAATGCAACAAGATTTGCTTTTATCTTCTGCTAGAAGATGGGAGGAAAGAAATACAGCTATCAGAAGTCTTGGCAAGCAATTTATGCTGAGATCACAGGTCAGACTGTGCGATCCCACTTAGCTAACATATAAAAGACTGACCCGATTACAGGGCACAGAACAGTCTCACATATTTTAAATACAGAAATTAGCTACTAAGTACCATCTAAACAGTTTCATTCATATCAAACAAGAAGTTTCAAACCCTGATTTTTATTATAATGGTTTGTCAGATACTAAAAAAACAGGCAGGACTGGGAAAATTCTCTTGTAAAAATGAATGCTGCTTCTTGGTGCAGCATCAAAGCAGACTGGCAGAAAAATACACATTTCTTTAGTTAATAACTGTGTCAATTCCTAGGTTCACCTAAATTACAAGACAAAAACATTTAAATGTTCAGCACAGTATCTGCAGCGTACATTTCTAGTAAGAGGTTGCTCTAACAATGCATCTTCCCTGTCTTGTTCCTATTAATAACATAATGGTGGTTCAGCACATCTAGAGAGCAGTAATGCTTCCCTTGTCAGATGACTGAAAGTCTCTCCCACATGTCTGAACAACTATTTGCAACACAGGGGATGTGAAGAAATCTCTACAACAGTGACCTTACTGTTAGATCAAAAACCATTCTGAAATCTTCAGTGAGTGCCCCAGAAGGCGGTGGGCAGGCTGCTGTGTGCCAGGAGGGAACAAACCCTATGGATGAGGCTGCCTGAGAGGCTGTGGATGCCCCGTCCATCCCTGGAGGTGTTCAAGGCCAGGTTGGATTGGGCCCTGGGCAGCCTGGTCTGGTATTAAATATAGAAGTTGGTGGCCCTGCATGTGGCAGGGGGGTTGGAGCTTCATCATCCTTGAGATCCTTCCCAACCTGGGCCATTCTGTGCTTCTGTGATTCATTCTGTGAGGTGCTTTTGCCCAACAAGACACATTTCAGCAAGCTGCCATTACAGAAGCAAGAGGAATCTTTTCAAATTCAGAGAGCAAGAACTACAGCCCTCCGTGTAATTCTTGCTGATGTGTCCACGTAAAAGTCTAAGAAACAAAAAGGAAGCACGGAAACAATTGCTTTCTAATTCCAAAATCCAACTTAGGGCTCCATATGATCACAAATACTGCAAGACCATACATGTTTTTTTTCCAGACCACTTCCACTTCTGTACATATTTGGATTGCCCCAGAAATACTGGCACTCTGGAATCACTGCATCACTTTCCAAACAGAGACTCTTCGGGAACAGTGCAAGGAATTCTTTGTAACCATTGACTTGAAAAGCATAACCCTGGGGCTTTTTTATTTTGAGCTAGCTCAGAATGAGCCATCACACGCTCATACACACAGGTAGCCCCAATCAGGTTTTGGTTTGCATTTTTTAAAATGCATATATAGAAAAAAGTTATATTTAAGGGATTTGTATTTCTCAGTACAAGATTTTCAAATATTTTCACATTTGCAATCAGTTGAAAGGAATAATGTTAATGTATGTTTTATGACTTAAGGTATCTTCAACAAAAGGAACACTCAGTAAGCCAAGCTGACATTTCAGTGATGACACTGCCAAGAAACACAACTTTGTGATGCAGCTGGCTTGGGACCGTGCTCACAGCTTACATCACATTGCACAGTAAGTACAAAGCATGATCAAAACAGGCTTTCAGAACTATCTGCTACTAAAGTATTCCTGAGGACTACCAAATAGCCTAGTCAACAATAAATTGTATTCTAACTAATGTGCCTCGATGGCTTCAGGCCCTTCTCTTGGATCATTTTCACAACAAACAATGGTGAAAGAGGATAGGAACAGTTCTTTGAAAGGGGCAGTCTGGTAGATTATGAAAGGGATTGAGGAAAAGAGGATGAAAAGACAAGGTGGGTAACTATGAGATCCAGAAATAGCTCTGGGCAGGACAAGGCTCAGGTTAGAAGAATGGGGCTGGAATGCATGCTTAGCCTTTGAAAGCAGAAAGTGTTCCAAGTCTCCTAAAGCTATTTCTTTCAAACAGCTGTGATTGAAAGAGTATCCTGAGATAGACGAGGAAGGGAGAAAAAAAAGAGAAGTACATGGGGAAAGGGAGGAAATGAGCTAGTGAAAATTTCAACGCAAAGAATGATGTATGGAAGTTAGATTAAAATCCTTCTATTAACTCAATATATTAATACTAGAAGAAATTGAATAATGTACAACTTAAAAACTGATAAAAGAACATCACTTTTGCTATAGCCCATAGCTATGGGCTGTGGAACTCATTTCCACATTTTCAGTTCAAGAAACGAGGAAGATTCAAGAGAATTGGACATTTACATGGCTAATAGCAATACACAGGTATGGGATCACAATTTTTGCTTGTATTTCACTTCCAGTTTCCAGTGTCTTTCTTTGATGCTTTTTTTTTTTAACAAACCCCGTGTATGGGAACTGAACTACTGATTGAACAGCTGCAGAAAGTCAGGCCTGGGAGCACAGGTGAAGGCAATTCAGCTGTGTGACTGGAGGGGGTGGAACCTGGTTCCTTGTTTAGACCTCATTTAAGGACTGTCATTGGGGAAGAATCTCTGGTTGGAGATCTCTCCTTGGTGAAGCTTCTTCTGGCAAGCCTAGCATCTTCTGATACACGTGAGTAATCTTTTTCCCTTTCCTTATAGTACCTCTCTGTCATGCCAGTCCTCCCATCATCACACCTTTGTTGTAACACCCTTCCCATTGTATGGATTTGTCCAATTGCTACACCCTGCTACTCTCCTTTTCGGAAAAGGAAAAGCAGATCAGCTAGAGCGATGCTCTGTCACAGCATAACAATTCTGATATCAAGGAAAAGAAGTCCAAAACTAGCTGGAACTTCAAATTCTGGCTGTATGGAAACTTCCATGCTCGCACTGAAATGCCCATTCTTAATCACACCGAATACAGAGCTCCTTGCTTGTAACTTACCTCTACCAAGGAAATGAAGCATAAGGCCTTGAGCCAGCAACATCTGACCAGTTCTGAGCGTGCAGCCCCAGCCACAGTCTGTTGTTAGTGCAGAGCCCTTTATCTGAGGAAATTCCTCTCGGTAAGTCAGCCATATTCTAGAAATGAAATCTTTACGAAACTCCTCAACGTTTCCTGAAATCTCTGTGTTGATTTTATCAAAGTTGGAACCCTCTGTAGAGAATTCACCAGACTCTATAAAGCAAAACACAATTAAGTTATAAGTTGGTAACGGGACTTCTGTTACTGCGATGAAAATACAATATACAACTCTGTAATTAGGAAGATAGGGCAAAGTTGTAGAAAGTAACAATTGCAATTTTCTCTCCTTGTATTTGAAGCAGAGCAAATACATTAGAAGTGTGTCAGCTGGAGAAAAAAAAAAAAAGAATAAGAGCCAAACAAGCGTCAATGAAATTGCTTACCTGCAAGGAAACAACTGCTTAATTCACTTAAATGTAAGTAGCCTAATAGAGACATTCAGGGAAAAAAAAAAAAACAACAAAACTTTGAAAACTGCATTCTGGAGGATGATAATGAAGGTTTTGGTGTCACTCTTCATTGAGAATTGTCACTACACATTTTTTTTTTTAGAAAATCTCAGTTTGATAGGTAAACAAAGTGTAATTCAGAGAGCTGCTATTTACAGAAAGAACAAGCAAAATGCAGATAAAGCAGGTTAGGATGGGTTGCATTAGTGGTGGTGGTAACGTGTGCATTAGTGGCAGTGGTAATGTGAAGACAGTTGGACTAGATGATCTTATAGGTCATTTCCAATCTTGTAATTCTATGATTTAACATATTTAAATATAAACTTTCTAAGCTTTTCTCATTCACATTTTGAATTCAGTAATCATTAAAGAAGAATTCTTTGAGAGGATTAAAAATATATACAGAGTTCTTGTCAAGTAAGACTGGAACGTGTTATGTGATGTCTACATACCGTCAGATTTGAAGTGGTAACATTTTCCCAGCAGAAAGACTGGGGAGTTTCTACTGAAGTAAGTTTTTGTTTTCAACACCCAACCTGAAATAAATGCAGAAGAAATACAAATTTGTGAGTGAATTACTTCAGTAAGACATTGCCAGTAGCATTTGATTAAGCCGAAGGTAAGTCCCAAAAGAGGAGTACAGAATAAATGCACTAAAATCAGGTTTCACTTCCACAAAAATGGGTCATATTACAAAACAGAGCTAATTGTTCTGTCTTAAACTTAATGGTTATCCATATATGAACACTTGAATGCTAATGCAATTGTGCTACTGTGCAGAAATTGTTGAGATATAGAGGTGCTAAAGCTGAGTTCAAGTTGCTTTGTTTTGACAGGGAATTCATTATTGTGTGGTATGATTTGGTGGGGTTTCCATCCCCTACAATTACTTACAATAGGTTTTACATATGATCAATGGAAATGCAAGACTATGAATTTTCCTGTAGTATCAACTAACCATACTTCATCACAAAATAACACTGCTTGGGAAAAATTCCTTCCATTCAATGGGGATGGGATTTCACCAAACACCATTTCACTTACTGTATTTCATGTTGTTCCATGCTGACATAAACTTTGATTTTATTTTTTCCACTTCATCTGTCCCTGTGGCCTCCATATTCAAATTCTAGAGGAAAAGCCATCGCTGTCTTGCAAGACATTAAATTCTGCTACTGTAAAAACAAAAATATAAATGTATCCATGCATGGCACAGAGAACACAGGGCACAGTATTGCTGCCTGCACATGACCAGAAACAGTAATAAAGTTGCTGGGAAGCAATCGCATGTTCCATGAATAAATAATAATAACATTTAATTCCAAACATACACTACTAAAATTACCATACAAAGCTAAATAAAATATAATGTACTCCAACAACTCTCTATTGCACAACAAACTGATCTAGGGCATATAAACTGTGCTAGTGTATGTGTATGCTCATTCCAGTTTGCAGTGCAATGAAGAGCTGTATTTCACTGAACAGAATAGACACTGTATTCTTCTCAGCAGAAAAGAATAGTAAGTATCTTTTTCTGCTGTCAGAGATTCAGGGCACCAACAAGCATACCTTGGCATGAGAAACTGCATTAGCTTTAGATTTCTAACCAAGACTTTCCTAAGCCACAGTGTGTACGTGGGAGGAACTGACAGACACAGAACACGTTTTGCTGTGTGTGTACATGGCAGAAAAGAGTTACCAACAATGTGTGCCATGACATAATTCTGAACAGAATTAACTTGCCAGAAGATGAGCAGAGTACTGCCATCAAATCCATGTGTAGTTTACATCCCTTCTAAATACCACCTGCAGTGCAAAAAGGCTCTCTTCTGATTGAATTGTGGTTTGTTTGTTTTTTTTGCAGCAGCAGCAGTTCAACTGTATTACAAAAGCGAGAGAGGTAAAAATGGTGGTGAAAGGCACTGCTGTGCAGATCATTCTTGTAGAAAAGTGCTTAAATTGTGTAAAAGGATGTGTGCATTTACCAACTCGAAATTGCTGACTGGAATTTATTGATGTTATACATACCCTCCTTATTTTAAACAGAGAATCCTGTATCTGCCTTTCCCTGTGCTGTTCTCCGTTGAACTGGGGTCAAAAGCAGATGAAGACACAAGCATTATTACTTCTTTCCACTGTGAGCACGTTTTCAGTAAGTGAAACTTAACTGCTGATAGCATGATTCCTACTGTTGGTATCTCAGTGAAGAGAGGGTAAAGATGGTGGGGAGTCAGTGTCTTCAGAGCCTGAAGGTACCCATGTGAATGCACTGTTCTGAACACTGCAGGTAGGGTGTGGAACACAACTTACTGCCCAGGCCTTCTCTAATATGTTGTTTGTTATTCTATTATTTTATAAAAATTCATCAAGAATTTTTGGACCCAACAAGAAGCACACAAACATGTGGGAACACTGATGGTTTTCTGCTCTTGAGAGGTAACAATTGGCAAAACCCAAGTATGATTAGTAGCTGTGAATTAAGCTGGGTTTTTGTAGGGGAAAGAAGAGGCAGTTAAAGGTTGGGCTTTGATTTGTCACCTTACCCACTCCTCCCATTTTTTTCCTTTAGGGAAGAAAAGGCTGCACAGATAAGCAGCACTGACTAGCTGGCCAAACTGGTGAGAGGAACGTATGCAGGAAGTGAGGTGTGCTTCTTCCAGTCAGTGCTCATGTGATGGATCAGGGATGGCCATTTATGTAGAGACCAGTGGTTACCACAAAAGCTAATAGCTGTAAAAGCTTCCCCTGGCTAAAATTAGGAATGGAACAAACTCTACTGTTCCTAAAAGGGCTGAAGGAAAAATGATGAAATGAGAACAAGCTCATTTTCCTTTAAAGACAATTTTCCTTTAAAGACCATGTGCTGTTATCTGTGCACATCCTTCTTCCAGCCCCTGATGGTGTTATGCTAAACACCTGAAAAGGTTCCCAAAGAAAAATGCTAACACAAAACAGCCAAATCTGTTCTGCTTGAAAAATACAGCCCTCCCATTAGCACAAGAGCTTCAGTTCCACTGAGGTTAACAGGAGAAGGTGGCTGTGAATACGGATCTGAACCCACCAGGTGCAGTGCAGCCCGTTACAAACCTACAGCTGGTGGTTTATACTGGAGTGCCTGGTGCAGAAGTTATGTGGGACGCCGGATGACAGCGACGGCACCGGGGGTGAATTCTGTCCTCGCGAGCTGCTGCTGCGTGCTGGGCTGCGGGCAGCGCGGTGCTGTTCGCTGGGTTTACCTACAGCCAGCCGGGCAGCCCAGCAGCTGCACTGAAGGCTGAGTAGCCTCTAAATGGCACTACATCGTTTATTAATTAAGGAATGATGACCGCCCTCGCTTTTTTTTTCCCAGTCTGTACAGACACGGAATTTGTGCAACGACAGCGAGCGCGACCCAGGCGCGGAACGGCCGAGGAAAGGCCGGGAGGCCGCGCCGGGCCCTTGGCAGCCGTGTGCGCACGGCGGGCTGACATTTCCTAAAGGACCCGCGAAGCAGAGCGGCAGCGCGTGGCCGCGCTCTGTCACGTCCTGCGCCGCATCGTGAGAGCCGCTCGGACCTCCCCGCACCGCCCCTCACGGCGGGGCCGTTCCCAGCCGGCCCGAGCCCCGGCCCCGCGCAGCCCCGGCCCGCCCCGCGCTCGCCGCTGCCCCCGGCCCCGCCTGAGGGTACGCGCGGCCGCCGTGCCGTTCCGCTCGGCCCCCTCACCTGCCCGCGCTCGCCTTTCCGCCCCCACCGGCGCCTCGCGGGGCGATCGACGCTTCCCCGCTCGCGCCGTCGCAGCGCCGCGGCCCTTCGCGGCCGCCGTACCTTGGGGCGGAGCGGCAGCCGGCACCGCGGCTCTGCGCTGAGCCTCCGCCCCGGCTGCCGGGCGGGATGGGGCCCGCCGCTTCCCGCGCGGTGAGCCCCGTGGCGCGGCCGGCCGAGGAGCGGCCCGTCGGCGCTCAGCCGGCAGGGACGCGCGAGGGACTACAGCTCCCAGAGGGCGCCGCGACGGCGGGCGGCCGGGCCGGCGGCGCTCTCGCGCGGGGCATGCCGGGAGCTGTGGTCCGGCGGGAGGAGGGCTGGGCTGCGGGCGAGCCAGCGGGAAGCGGGCGCGGGGCGGAAGGCGCGGCGCCACTCGTCCCCTCACGGCGCCTGGCTGCCCCTCACACAACCGCTGTAGCTCCAGCGCGGCAACACGGCTCCAAAATCCACACGTTCTCTGAGGGCTGATGGGATTTAAATCCCCGGCTGAAACTTAAGTGCACGCTAACGCTTCAAATCGCTTTTTAAAGTTTATGTTCTAAAAGTACGTAGGGAGGAATCACGCCTCTCAAATTCCTGAGAGGAGCAACCTGCTGAGCGGTTGGCTGTAGCATTTCATGAGGGCGGTTCTTCATCAGTCCTCAGCTTAGAAATAACCACTGGATGTGTGGGGAGCCAATGTGTCTCCCCCCAACCAACTCCCCCCAAAAAACACCAAAAACACCAAAAAAAAAAAAACACCAGCAAAGAACTGCAGGATGCAGCTTAAATTTCATATCCCATTTCCTATCCCCCACTGCCCTTGAGTGGGGCTGTCCCTGCACTTGGCGCTGCAGCAGCACACCTTTGAGATCATGAGGAAAACATGCTTTTTATTTTATTTTTTTTTCCATGTAGTGATTTGACTGCCTTCTGCTGGCTAGAGGCCAGCGGGCTGTGCTTACATATTTTTTTATACCAGCACATGATAGTAGCTGATCTAAAGGTAACCTTCAGAAGGATAAGTGCCAACAACTGGTCTTAATGTTGGCTGCTTTTTTTTTTTTTTCTTAATCTACTGAGACATGGATCGGGTCCATAAGCACACAAGATCTTGGGTATTAATGTGCAAAGCAGAAGACAAACCTTGTTTCAAGGGTGTAGCTGTTGGGTTGGAGCCGGGATGTCGGAGCTCAGCACTCCGCTCCCTCCTGCCCTTCAACTCACCGCTGCACACCCATAAATCAGCCATCCCGGTCCTTTGGGGGGATCCTTCAAGCTCCAGCAGTGAGCATCTCCACACAGCAGCTGTTGCTGTTCCTTCTCAAAACCAGAACGGAGCGGTGATGCACAGAAAGTTGCGTTCGCGCCCTGCACATATTCCAAGCCAAGATAAAGATTTTAAAGTAACACACGCTTGCTGTTTGTATTAAAGTCATGAAGGACTGTCCCTGCAGTCCGGGTAATCTGTCAGTGCAGAAGGAGACAGGCCTCCCGCCTTCTGAATGTTATGACCCGCTTTAGAAATAATAGTTCTTTAAAGTTTCATCTTTGCTTATATTTTCAAAGACAAAGATGAATGTGCTTGTCTGTTTGTGTATGGTCTCGAATATTGAGAGCTCAGTAGCTCACATGGCTTGGATTTGGGTAAATATTGAACAAAGAATTATTCAGTTGATCAAATGAAATGACTATTCCCTTGCCTGAAATTAGTTGCCTGCACCTTCCTGCTTTGAAATTTAATAACCATGCCCTGATTTGATAGGCCACACAATATGCCATCTGGATATACATTGTAAATCCCTCAGGCAATCAGGTTATGAGAATGAAGATATTTATTTTCTGCTTTTTGCATCAGTCAGATCATGCAAAACAAAGCTTTGATTGCAAAATAATTCCACAGGCAACCATAAATAACTATCTGTAAAGAGAGTTTCCTTCACCTTGACTAATTCCTTCTCTTAGGAAAGATTTGCAGAAGGAGTGGGAGAGAACATATTGCGTTCAACTGAATTCTAACAAACGTCACATAGTTTGCACTTGCAACATTTTAATACCATAAAGGCCATGCAAACCATTCATTTGTGCTAAATTAGTATGGTATGAGTAATAAAATATTTTAAATCTGTGATTATGGAGGACGTAATTTGTCCTCCCTTTTTTAGTAGGTAAGCAAAACAGGTAACACAAAGAGGCAGCATCAAAAAGACTAAGAATTAGAGAAGATGCTCTCTGCTTTATGGATATCTGAGATACCATGGTAACACACCTTCTACTCACTGCAGAATGGTAAGATAGCACCAAATTGCTGGGCAGTTAGGGGAATGAAGATGCTCGTGTATCTGCAGTTAGTCTGCTAGTTCATCTTCAGGATCTGAGCATCCATCAGTAATATGCAATATGTTTGGAAGCAGCTGTTTGTGTGTTCTGTAAACAGTGCAGACCTTAGGTCAAGCAGCTGGAAAATAGAGAATTTTTCATCGTTTATTTTTAGTTTAATTTCCTAGGGAAGTAAGCCATTTTTGATCCATTTCCCTTTGGAAAGCTTTAAGGCCACTTTGCAATTTAATCAGGTTTGTAGAGCCTTGAAGATACTACATACCCCCAGTTTTTGTGGAATAACTGCTTAAGCAGAAAGAGACACTGTGATGGGATAGAGGGGGAAGACTGCAATCCAGGCTGTGCTAATTCTGCTGCTCTCAGAACTGCTTGTTAGAATATTTTACTCTAAGGTTACTCCCACTCATTCAGGAGCAGAAAACCTCAGACACGCTTGTAACAGGGTTGTTTGTGCTTAGCAACACTACTGGAAATAGAATGGTTAGATAAAGAATGCAGAGCTTCGTAAAGACTAGAAGTGTTTTTAATTAAAATATAACCGCTGTGATGAATATTTTGTTTCCGAAGCAAACCTGTTACTGTGGAATGCCATGGGTTTCCCAAGGAAACTGTAATCTTCAAGGTTAATAGCTAGTGCAAGCACACAGCAAAGCAACAAAGAAACGTGTATACTTGGGGGAACCTTTCAGGGAACAAAGGAATCTCCCATGTTGCTTTCCCAGGTGTATGCACAGACTTTGTGACTCTGCTGTTGGCCCAGCTGTCCTTTTCCAGACAAGCCACCCTTCTACCAAGTGCAAAGTCTACCAAGTGTCAGCCTGCTCATGTGTGTCCATCTGCTTGTGGGAGCAATTGAGGCAGCAGTATGTGCACCATCCCCAAAGCACTTCTCCAAGATGAAAGGGACAAACTGAGCATGGCTCCTGCAGAGATTGCAGGTTAGGTATTTGCCTCCACAGATTTTGCCAGTGTGATTCTGCTCATACCGCTGACTCCATCCAAAACCAGATTTTCTTATCCTATCCTGGGATTAGGCTAGGGAAGAGCACCAGTGCCTGGGACTGCTGTTCCCAAGAAAGGGAGTGTGATCCTCCATTGGGACCTGCTCACAGGCTGGGAAATTTTGCTCTAGGCAGGAGGCTGTTTTATGCATACTACACATAGGGTACTTTGGCTCCATTAGCTTTTGCTGTGCCTGACTCGAGCTGTCTATAAAAGAAATAGCATGGACATGAGGAATGTGAGGAAGGCTGCAGGCACTCCAACAGTCCTCACTCCTTTACTCTGTTATCCTCAGTTTCCCAGTCACCCAGTAGAATCTGGGCAATGGGTCAATGAAGCTGCTCTTTCTTGCTCTGAGAACACCAATATCTTCACTCTTGCCACAAGTCTTGAAATGAGTTTGTTCATGTTTAGTTCCTTAACTTCAAATAAATGACTTTCAAGAGACAGGCAGAGATTTGGCCCTTAATTAATTTAATTTGTTTCACTTAGCTGCCAGTAGATGGCTCTCTGAATTTACAGACCCATGTTTACTTCTCTGTTTATTGACTTCTGCTGGACACATTTGCAGTGGAAAATGTTTCCAATGTTTTTGCTTTGAGGAAGTTTACGTAAGAAGAACAAGGAAGCAATTGCTGAGTAAATGGACTGCCAACAAACAAGGCACGGGATCAGTTTGCTTTTTGCAAAACGTTTTGCAGCTACAGCACAAAAGATTTTTTTTGTGCAGAACTTTATTTAGAGAGTTATCAGATTCAATGAGTTACACCTGTGTTCAGAACATGCATTTACCAAATTTCACTATAACCAAGTAAGATTTGTTCTCAAAAAACAAAAACAATTTAGGCATATGGTTTATGGAAAGGAATGCTCCTGAACTTACAGCAATGCTTCTTCATTAATTCTTCATTCACAGCTCTTCAGCACGAGGGAGAGAAAGGCAGATATTTCACAGACACACGTGTGTTGTACAGCGCCTTGTCTAGGCTATGAGCTTTAGACAGGTAGTTGCTCAGACCCAGCACAGCTCACAGATGTAAACTCAACTATTTGTTCCTTGCATTTTCTTTTCAAGGTTTATCAGAGAAGAGTAAACAGTGACTTTCAACGTGGCAGTCCATGTTATGATAGCTTGCTGGGCTCCTTCTGAGCCTCCACATCATTGGGCTGACTAGAAAGGAAATGCAACAGATACAGTGGAGATGCATCAACTTCCACAGTGTCCCTCACCTCCCACTTCAGCATATTCTCTGTCCTGCTGAAGCATCAATGTGCAGATGTGGAGAAGTGAGCATCACCCCTTTTCACTGACAAGTGTGCTTACCTGGAGCAGCAGATCCTTACTGATGGCTGTGCAGATGGGCTAACTTCTTTGGGATGTAGTAGAGTCTTTCCAAAGTGGATTCATCCCAACTTTGGAATCACGTGTAAAAATACAAGTGCCTCCTTTTTTGCTTTCTAAAGTAGGGTTAAAAATTACAGTGTGCTGAAGGAATGTCACCCTAATTTAAAGAATTTAAAGAAAATAGTTCTGTTTTCTACTCCAGGTAAAATGTGTCACACAACAGTTGCTTTTGAATCAGAAGAAGTTGCTTGTTTCCAAGATGTCTAGAGAAAAGTGTTTTTCACACTGAAGTTCCACATCACAGGTTGGTCACACTCCTCGCTTTATGAAGCATAAGTTTCTTTCTTCAGACAAAACGTTTCCTCCTATTAATTATCTTCACTTGCAAATGAGAAAACAGAGGCAGAAAGGTTATGTGACTCAGTGCCTGTCAGCGGCAGCACTCGAAATAATACAGACATGCCACAACATCAATCACACTGATTTGTCAGTGAT